TAATAATTATTGAGATGCAGAGTATAAAAATCAATTCTGCAATTAATTTTATTATTAAGTGTTAATTGTATAGAGATACAGGATTTTGAAAACAGCAATAACATTAACAAAATATGTAAAACAAACAAAACATAAATTTTAAAAGATGTAAATAAATGTACAATTACATCTTTCCTAATATTGCATAAAATTTTAATATCATATGACAGCATCAAGTTCTAGAAATAGGCAATTAAATTATATCATATAATAAAAATAATATAATAACTATATACAGTCAAACTCTCTAAGTGCACTTCACTAAGTACAAGAATTAAGTAAATTCTCTCTAAATGCACGGTATAGTCTGGTCCTAGCTTATAGAAGCTCTATATAATTTGCTCTCTATAAATACACACCCTCTTTAAATGCACTCTTTTTATTTTTTTTTATAGTTCTGAGAAGTGCATTTAGGGAGGTCTGACTGTAATTAGTATAATATAATAAATATAATGCTGTATAATTGGTATAATATTTTAGTGTAACAAAGTTGGCCAATAGAAATTTAGATGAAATTTTTCATAAAAATGAGCAAGCACATAACAAACCCATATATACTTTCTAAATATTTATTATACAGTTATTATACGGTATAATAACCTGGTTATTATACCACAATTTTAATTATACCGTATAATTCCCATCCCTATATATATGACTCACTTATTAAACTTTTTTATTTATCAAACTATATTATAGATCTCATTGATTCAAAATTTACATGAAACTAAACATTAAGATAAGTGTTACAAAAAAGAGTATAGTATTTCAAAACCCAAACCAAGATATAAAATCTAATAGAAAAATTATTTAAATATCTAGGCTCCGGACTGCAACGGTTCCCGTTTCCTAGTTATTTTCATTTTTCGACCCTTATATGTAATTTCTCTGAATGTTCCATGACCAAATTTATTTCATCCAATTAATGATAAATAGTATCGTCAGATAGATAACATAAATATAACTGTATAATGTACTACGAATAAATTAAATGAGAACTTGTAATTCACAATCATATACTGAACTTTCTGTAAATTTTCAATGTATGGATTTGAATTACGTAGCGAAATTTATCGAATGCAAATATTGGAAGGTAGTTTTCTCTTGGCATCATTATACAACGCAAATGTATTTTGGCACCTATGCATTATTTCGCGACAATATCATGCTACGTTGTACTATGAATTTTTACAATTACAATTTTTGTGATAACAAGAGACGTGATATTACCAATTTTAAGAAAGTATTGAGCAATGAAAAGGCAAATGAATATGAGATAAACTATATTTCTAAGAGTACAGGCATAAGATTCGAGAGTTCACTTTAACTCTAATATAAGCAATAACTAATTCCAATACACAATAATAAGTAATCGATTATTTGAATTTTATTGAAGAAGAAATTCTAATTCACGATGCGGTCATCCTATCTCGCATCAAGTATTAACATTTTTAACGTTCGTGTTACATCACGTTTCGCTACTGATATAATATATTAGATACTAAAAGAAACTAAATAAGAAAATTTTGAAAATGAATATAATTTTATGTATTATAGATTCCGCATTCTAGAAAAATTCACTCAGGAATGTCGTTTAGACACACCTTTTAAGAGAAATTTCCATTTATAGATGATCCCAGAAAGTTATCATTAATACGTACATGCCAGGTTTGTACATTCATTAATGTTAAGGTTGGCGTTTATAATAAGGTTATAGGTTAGGTATCGCTCAAGGAAAACTTTTTGTTAGAGTGCTAAAGGTTACTTTATATAATCAATTGATTAAAAATACCAAAATTTTATTATACATCATGCTAAGGGTGTTCTCAAGCTCCTAACAGGAGGAACCGTTGATACGTCACAAAATCGTTACACAATTGATGAAAAATTTTTTATATTATTTTACAATACTTTTTTGGAAGGCTCGCTTGACTTATCTTTTCTATGAATATTGAAAATGGTTAAACAAACATGAAGCTCTCACTTTGCTTTACAACATATTTTTTGAATCCCCTTGAATCCCATGCTTTCGTCTTTTTGTAAATTTTGCAATTTGATTGGTTGACTAATCCCGCAGTGATATTTTGACTGGTCGATACAATGAGTGATCTGTGTAACGGAGAATGAAAATCATATCTATATTTGGACGGTTTCTCCTGTTCAAGCTCCTAAGTCAATCTATCGGAATAGGTCTGAGAGTAAATTTTAATTAGTAAAAAAATAGTTTAACGAATCGATTGTACTTATTATTCCAATGAATAAAACATGCGATGGTAGTTTAATACGTCAGTGAGAAAAATTTAATTAGCGGAAGATTGTTTAACCGATCAAGGGTATTTATCATTCCAATTAACAAGAGATGGAGGCCCAGACATCCTTTTTTTTTCATAGGGTTGCGTTTATTGGCTGAAATTTTTCATTGATTGGTTAGAAAAATTAATTGTTCAAGTACTTCTCCCTTTGTATTGTAGATCTTAAAAATCGTTACTAGTGCCAACGAATAATATATTACAGAAAACATATAAATTTATATATTTTTAAATTTTTATTTATATATTGATTACTTCTTCGGATTCTCTATTTGATTTATTTGTCGCAGTAGGATCCAGAAAAGTTGGGTTGGACATTTTTGTTGTGCGGTAACATATAAAAGTTCATGAGGTCTGAAAAAGAAGAAACAGGAACCGAAATGATTTGATTTGACGTTTTGTTTTACTGTTAACTTTAGTAAAGTCTGAAAAAGAAGAAACAATACTTGGAATTGTTGAAAATGGAGTTTTTATATTTTTTTGTTAATTCTTCGTTTTCATTTTTTTATTTCAAACATAATAATTGCGAAATGGTAATAATGATAAAAACGTTTGCTCAAGCACCAATTGCAATCAATATTTTAATTTATCGTAATACTTGAGCATCATCACGATTATAAACTAATCACATCGAGGAAGATACGTGAGCGTAATCCAATTATACTACCATTCATCCTATTGAACTTCAACGATGGTCTAATTAAATATTACTATAATGGTTGTGTACTATCACAATCACTAGCTAATCACATTGAGCTTGCTGCTTGAGAACACCCTAAATGTACAAATTTCTTTAGTATATATAATACCAAATGTATAATTGCAGTGTTATGTCCAAATTGGGCAAAAAAATTTATTTTGCCAAAATGGCCAAATATACCAGGAACGGAGTGATGAATATCATGGATACCAGAAACGGAATGATGAATATCGCTGAGTATACCAGGAACGTAGTGAAATGGAGTGTATGGTCTAATTCATATTTTGCGTTCATCCACAAAATCTTGATTCTGATTGGTTGTTCTGATTTTATGTATTACGTTCTGTACACAGCCCTGATCAGATTGAGTCTGTTTTTATTTTTCATACTGTACGTTAAACCCAATTAAAACTGGTGTTACTATTAAAAATTTTTAATTTCTGTGCCTCACTGTGTAGAAGATTCTAGCACATACTTTTCTTTTGTTTATTGTTATTATTATATTCTTATTGTTAACTTATTACTTACCGCATATTATTATTATTGCTATTATTACTTTTCTTGTTATCACCATATTCGTATTATTATTATTCTATATTTAGTTAGTCTATCTTATGATTATCATTGTATTGTAGTGAGATTGCTGTACCCTGGTAAATGTTTAATTGTAGATCTGCACTATTCTATTTTTAGCTTGCAATAGATTAGTTAATGGTATTTCCTAATTGGCTTGACTATCGATTTCTATAATAGTCAAATGACATATTAAATGTGTTGCAAGGTGAGATATCATATAAACATGACATATGTTTGTTCAAAAGCTGAATCTTGTTATGGAAATAGCTTCAATGAACTCATTGAGGCAGGGCGTAGATATTATTTATCTCAGGCGTTTAGCATCATTGAGGGATAGAGGAATCGGCATTGAAAAGGATAAATCCACGAAGGAAGAAAATACCAATGGCAACCTTAAGTAAATAGTCTGTATGATTTCTAAATGTATTTAAAGACTCAATAGTTGCTTGAATTAAGTTTTCTCAGACTTCGATCTCAATGATATTTTGAATAAACTGGTTTCTAGTGTATTTTCTGTTTGTTATTGAATTATTGAATCATTGTAAATACATCTTCATGATCTTATTATATATCCCAATAACCCTATCATTAAGACAGCTTAATGATCTTATTTATTTAGTTATCTATTTCATTATTATATCATATAATTATCACATTACAACTGCTCACCTATCGTTGTATCTTTCATGTTCTATATTATTGTTATCTCCTATCTGATATCCTTTTTGTTCACTATCAGTGATCTAAACTCGGCACTTACTGACGCTTTTCCAACTTTCAATAGTAACATTTGGTGCCGATTGTGTGAAAATATCCACCTGTTAGTTTTCAGGACTGCATGAATAATTTCGAACAACATATTAGAAATACTGAAGAATATGATCAGCAATATTATTTATTTGGAAAAACTCCCCAGGCCATCAATTACTTAACCCGATATTATTGTGACAACTCTTGTCCCGTTTGTTATCCACCCCAACTTTTATCTCTACAATTCAAAGGTTTCGGCTTCAGTTCGACGCTTTCCAACTGGCTTCTTTCTTTTCTTAACACACTATCTGTCGGTTTGAGAAACTTTTTAATTTTGAGATTGACAATATCCCTGATCAATTATTATGAGCCTTCATCTTTAGCTTTCGATACGAAGGATGACCTGATGATTATCTCACCCTTTTAAACGAATTTTTAGTTACTTATCAAGAAACTGACCATTTCTACTTAGACCCTTATGATGAAACATACGAAAATAGTGATACCTTTGCAGATGATATGAATCAAGATAACAACCATCCTCAAGCCCCTTTACGATTGATCCCAATAATAATAATCAACAACTACCTGTCGGCCAGAACACCTAGCCTAATCAAAATGATCCTATGACCTTCTTGGCCCACCAGATAAGAAATCTTGTACTTCAAATGCAAAACAATCCTGCTTCTCAAATCAATATCCCTGCTATTAACCTTCCGGCCCAAAATCATGAGCTCAACCTAGTTCCTTACCCTGATTTTTCTGGCGGAGAACAAGACTCCATTACTTGGTTAGAGGACATAAAAAAAGCCTTCGAAGCTAACCAAGTCCAAAATAATCAAAAAATCCTGATTGTCATTCCTCAGTTGAAAGGCATGAGGACTACTTGGTGGGTTACTGCTAGAACTATTCGACCTGCTATCGATTGGTGAAATGATCTGCATCATGGAGAGTAAAGTTTCCATCCTCATTTCATTACTCAATTTCAAACCTCTTCTTTTAAAAGTAAATAGTTTGCTCAATTAACCCAAAGAAAGCAAGGCTTTACTGAGGATGTTGATTCGTAACATGTGTAGAGTCAGGTAGTTATCATTATCCAGGCACTGCTAAAGCCCAGATATTCATTAATAGCCTAAGACCTAAATTGTCTACCACTGTTGCCTCCTTTATGCCTAATACTCTGTCCGCTGCTTACGAATGTGCTAAAGCATTCGAAAATTCTTTTAAACCAAACACCTTTTTCTATAACCCATATCTTATGGCCTCTCCTCAAGTTCCCCAATATCCAAACCTCCAACCTATCTCTTGCAATCTGCGGCTGTGACCCCTAGCAACCTACCTGTAGTAAACTCTTCTAATACAAAGGAAGTTCTTGTTAAATTCACAAAAACTTTAAATGCAGTGATGAAGAAGCTTCAAGAGTCATGTAAGCCCCCTAAATGATACCAGACTAATTGGAACAATTTTTCCTGCTTCAATTGTAATTAGTGTAAACAGACAGGCCACTATGCTTGTAACTGTACAAATCCTTTACCTCAAAATAATCTGGGTGCAGTAGTCATGGGAAACAATGCTACTCCTCTCAGACAAAACAATGGTCCTTGAAATAATCACCCATTGGTTAATAATAATGATGCTCTGCTTCAGGCTCAAGGAAATGAAGCTCAGACTTTTTTGAACCTTCATTTGATAAAAGTGAGCCCTTATTCCTTCCTGCTGACAAATCTGAAAGGCCTACCCATTTTACTCGATTGAAAAGAAGGCATATCAAGGATTCAAACCTCCAAGACCTTATGGAAGAAGAAAGGATTAATGATCAGGAAGATGTTCTGGATAATGAACAGGAACCTAAGAGAAAAGTCGCTTCAGTCTCTAAGCTGAAGAAAGAAACAAAAACGGTCCCTGTTAAAAAAAGAAAAGTTGAGGATAATCTACCTCAAATTTCAGCTCTTATTCTTCAATATTCGATCATCTCCAAATCCTTGATAAACCCGCTAATATCACCTTTGGCCAACTTTTATAGGTGGTTCCTTCTTTACATTCAGATCTAGTCAAGAGTCTTTGTAAAACAAAAGTCCTCAAGAAAAGGATCTGTACTTTTGTAAATCTTCAATCAACTCCTAAATCGACAGCTTTGTATTGCGACACCATGGTCCAAGATAAAGTTATCACTCTTATCATTAATAGTGGGTCATCCGGAAGTGTTGTCTCCTCTCATCTTCTTAGTGAGCTTGGCATCAAGGTAGAAAGGCCCTCTATAGTTAATATGGTCAATGTGTATAGTCAGAGCAAAAGAGCTATTAGTGAAATTTCGAACTTTCCATTTTCGTTGTAGTTCCTGTCAATGTTGTGGTTATAGATGCACCTTCATATCAAGCTATCATTGGAAATGATTGGTTATCTAAGGTCAATGCCAATATAGACTATAATACGTCTGAAATGGTGTTTCAATGAAAGGATCAAAAAATCGTCATTGCGGTCAAATTCAAGAGCTTCAGCATACACCCATCCAAGACAATCGCCCTCCTAGATTGCAAAAATTCAGCAAGATGATGACAATGAGTCAGATGACTCTGGAAGTGAAGACGAAACTGAGTCCGAGTATGAAAAGAAAGAATTGGAGGACTGACTTTTTGGTTTCTCAGAAGATGAATCTATAAACTTTTGATATTATCATGATAACATATCAGAACCCAAAGGAGATGATGTTTCTGACAATAGTTTGATAACTTCCTGGTATAACGTCCACCCTGAAGGCTTAGGAGCTGGTGATGCCTGTTGGAATATTGATGGGGAGGATAACTATAAGTTATCAGGTACTGATATTCCTCCTGATTTCGACGATGATGAATCAGAGCCTCAACATGAATTCTTTTTCGATCAGATCAAAGAACCTCCTCAGGAGTTGGACATCGGAAGTTTA